GTGCTGTGTGGGTGGCCTTTGTTCCTGCTTATGTCAGCTCACCAGGAAATCTTGCAGATGCAGTGGAGGTGTTTGCCATTCTTGCTTCAAGTTTTGGACTCTTGATCACACTGTTTGGACCCAAATGTTACATAATCCTGTTGAGACCAGAGATGAACACAAAGAAAGCTGTTATGGGCCGTGGGATTGTGTCATAAAATTTTCAATTCAAGTCAAAAAAAAATTTTTTTTTTGCACTCTATTGACCAAAAATTAAATAAACAATTAAAATGAACAAATGTTAAATATTAAAGACAGTTATTTAGTCGGTTTTTTATGTTTGTTGTTCTTTTAAAATGCAGTTTACATACAAAACAACCAGACTTTTCAAAGAAAAGCATTGACTTTGTTACACTGCACTGTAAAATTTACCTATTACGGAAATTAAATATAATTGAAACTCTTTTAATAAACTACGCTTTCAACTTGAATTCATTTAGCAGTTCTAATATATATTTTTTGCATATTTGGTCTGTCTTGAACTGATCGTGATCAAAACCATGCTGATCATTTCAAGAAAACAACTAATACAGGTCTCAACTTTCAACTCTCAACTTCCTTCAGTGCAGTTTGTTTCCATTTCAAAATGTGCTACCATCAAAACTTAACTATAGTGACAATTCCAGGCTCCCAGAGACACAAGGCTCTCTAACAGTTACCTAGAAGGTCTCTCCAAACAGACTGTAAGAAGGATTGTGCATTTACACACATAACAACTAGTGCACAAACACTAAGATCATCACCACAGTCTGCTCCCGAGGCATAGAGGCAATGTCTGTCATGTGCAGACCCTTCTACTTGCCCAGAGAACTGCCTGCAGTCCTAATAACAGCAGTCTACTTACCACCAGACGCTAAAGCTAGCTCAGCCCTTGCCTGCCTGCACGACACAATCTCCAAAAAGCAATGGGAATATCCAGAGGGAGTATCATTGCAGGGGATTTCAACAAAGCATGCTTAAGACCTGTGCCTAAATTTGTTCGACATGTGAAATGCCCTACGAGAGGGAATAACACCTTGGACCATGTTTACTCAAATATTAAGCAAGCTTTCAGATCTTTTCCCCTCCCCCACCTGAGTATGTCCGACCACCTCTCTCTGCTCATCGTCCTGTTATACACACCACTCAGGAAAAGAACAAAGCCCACCATCAGAGCCATTAGCACCTTTTCTGAGGAAGTTCGTGCTCAATTGCAGGACTCTTTTGCCCTCACAGAGTGGAGTGTCTTTGAACATGATGGCCTAGAGACTCACACATCCACAATGCTGGGTTACATCACGCACTACATGGACACTGTCACCACGGAAAAGGTCTAACCCAACCGTAAACTCTGGATGACAAGTACGGTTCAGGCATTGTTAAAGGCACGCAGCTCGCCATACAAATCTGGGGGCCAGGACATGTACAGCAGAGCAAGAGCAGACCTTAAAAAAGGCATCAGAGCAGCAAAACTGGACTTCTCAAACAAGCTATCAGATCACCTCTCTGATAACAACCCCAGAAAGGTATGAGAGAGCCTGAAA